ATGAAGTTGATGAGCGGATTATCTGAGCACCAGTTTTCTTCGATCTTCCATCCAACTCTCTGTTGATCAGCGAGTCCCTCCTCCCAATCGAGTGAGCATCGCCATTAGGCACGTCCTGTAGCACCGGTAGCAGTGATATTTCGCCCTGGGTGTTCTGGTCATATCTGAGCTAAAATTTACTGAGGGATGGTTGCACACCAAACAAAAACGTTTACTTGGATCATCTTGCGATTTTGCTGAAAGTCGCCAGCTAATTCATTTGCAGTATCTCTAATTAATTGCTTGCATGTTTTCAGAAAGCTCGATTGGCTCGTATAAGAATAGTGAAAAATGCTAGCGGACAGGCACTATACAGCAAGAAAAAAGCCCACGAAGCAAGGATGCAAGCCTTCGAGCAAGGATTGTTGAGCTTTGATTCGCTAAAAGATGAGGACATCTTCGAAATCCAACACCGCCATTTGCTTCAGTGCCTCGAAAAAGCCACTGTAACTAGTTGCTTGCATTTACATATTTGAAAATTTGCGAACAAAAAAAAGTAGTAACTCGAGCTCCAAGTATATTTTGATCAGCTTTCGTTGCTTTAGAGCATTTCTTTGTCTCACCATTACAACTGACTATCTTCCTTATACGATTATTTCGATCGAGGCAACAGGACCTAATGGTTTATCTCTGGATGATCTTAGCACTAGCACTTCTGTTTTTATCATTTTTAGTAGAACCGGCAATGAGTACCAGAACTGTCTCAGTCCTTTTGCTGCTCGTAAAACTTTTTATCCTATCAGTTCCTTATGCCGCCTCCTTTCCTCAGTACTTTGGCGCTAATTCGTCCATTATCGATTTTGGCGCGAAACAGGAAACTGAGCCACGATTTTGGTTAGTTATATGGGCTGTCGAAGATTCTGCAGTCTGAATGCAGTGATATCCGAGCGTAACCTCTCAAAAATTGTTTTACAATGCACCCCGCTGGGTGGCAGTTTCCGTTCTCTTTGAAATTAGTTCATTAGTGCAATATGAGGCAGAAGTGACGGCTTGGAGCCGCTACAGGCTGGATTTGTGAAGTGAAAAGCAAAGCAGAAAACTTCCACATAGTCAGTTTCCAGCTTTCTTCACTAGCATACAGTTTGAAGCAAAAATCTGAGCTTCATGCCATTCTTGGAATGTTGCTATGGGTCGCGTAAATTGCGGTTTTAGGAAAGAGAACTGATCGAAAAGGATATCGCATTTAACGATAATTTGAGAGCAACGCCACCGATCAGTCCGTCCACGTCGCAGGGATTGCTACATGCAGATAACGACGCGTATTCTCACTGGCTGCGTTGCTGCAATTTTCATATTGGTATGCTTAGAATATATGCTTGGAAATTTCACTGCAAATC